ATGCAAGGATTATTATTATTATTATCTCTCTGAAAGAAACAGCCATGAGGCCAGCGATTGGTTTTATCGGGAGGATTGTTGGCCAGGAAACCAGGAGAAGCTCATTCCCACACACATGGCTCAACCTCCCCTGAAACCATCACACAAGGGATCTGATCCTGTTGATCCCTGGTACTGATATTGGCATTCCCGTTTTATTCCCATTGTACCCTCAACTCCACAACCACGACCCCCGATGTCCTGACAGCTGTCTGTCCGACATTGAGTTCTGGACGAGAGACAACTTTCTTCAGCTCAATGTGCATAAAACTGAGGCCCTTCTGATTGGCTCACGTCAGCGCCTCCGCACCTCAGGCGCTGACAGCATCAGCTCCAAGGCCGCACTCTCCACCTCTCAAAGCCATCAGGAACCTCGGGGTTCTGTTCGACCCTGAGCTGTCCTTTCTTCCTAATATCAGCGCCACAACTGGCACCGCCTTCCACCACCTCCGGAACATCGCCAGACTACGGCACTACCTCACCCCTCACGCGGCTGAAACTCTGGTCCACACCTTTATCACCTCAAGGCTGGACTATGGGAACTCTCTCCTTGTCGGCCTTCCCGGCCCTCCCTCCACACTGCAGGTCATTCAGAACTCTTCAGCTCGTGTACTGTCCCGCACCAGACACCGCGCCCACATCACTCCCACCCTCGCTCGCCTCCACTGGCTCCCCATCCCCCAGAGGATCAAATTCAAGATCCTCATCCTCACCTACAAGGCCATTCACGGCCTCGCTCCCTCGTACCTCTCCAACCTACTATCCTCCTACTTACCTGCCCGTACCCTCCGTTCCTCTGGCTCCGGTCTGCTCCACATCCCCCGCCCCAACCGCCCTACCATCGGTGGCCGGGCCTTCAGCCTCTCAGCCCCGAGGCTCTGGAACTCTATCCCCCAGTGCCTTCGCCGCTTCCTCCCTTTCCTCCTTCAAGGCCGGTCTCAAGACCCTTCTCTTTGATCGTGCCTTCAGCTCCCCTCTCGACTCTCTACCCCCTCCTCACTCCCTCCCTTCCCTCCCCTCACCCTGACCATTTCACCCCAATGCTCGGGTCCTGACCCAACTGTACAGAGTCTTGGGACGTCCTCCCGACGTGAAAAGCGCTCTATAAATGCAATCTTGTTGTTGTTGTTGTATTCCAGTTGTGTTTCCCATTGTTTTTACCATTGTACCATCATTGGCTAACTCTGCATTTGGGCACCGCTCCCTCACAGACTCAGTTCAGTGTTTTTTGGCAGTGTCAACACATGCGGAAGCCCATCACTGCGGTTGAGAGGATCCAAACCAAAGTGAGAATTCCATGCATCCCACCTACACATGGAAATCCCAGCGTGTGTGTTGGGGCAATTGACATGGAGTCTGCTAACCAGCTAAACCCTCAGAGCTTGCTATTGAGAGCACTGCCTGGCAAGCTGTCCTGCTACTTGTCCAGCTAGGACCATCCTACCCATTAGGCCACAGAGTTAACAGGTTAACAGGCGGGAAGAATCCCTGTTGAAAGTGGGAATTTGCTGCTGAATTTGGCACAGGTTTGTGCAATGGATCTGCAATTCGCTGAGAACTAAGTCCTGCCTAAACCCAGCTCAATTCTCACGAGTGCTCTGAGCTGGAGTCAAGTCCCACTGGTGAAAAGACCGTCCTTCAGGGTTGTCAGTAGAGCACTTGCTCCACAAGCGAGAGGACCAGGGTTCAATTCCCAGGCAGGGCAAAAACCTCAGGCAAGTTTCCTTACGTTTGTTTATCTAGCAAGAGGTAGGAACCCAGTTGTTAGTCGTTTGGCAGATCACTTTCCGGGGGAAATAATCCCTCCAAAAAAAAATTTGATCACTCAATCCACAACTGTTTGCGGGACATTGCTGTGTGCGGGACACTGCTGTGTGCAACTGGCTGCTGGGTTTCGCCCACAAAATACACAGTCACTATAATTTATGGTATATTCTGTGAAGCGCTTTGAGACGTCTATGCAGTCTATGCTATGCAGTGCGGAGCTGCACTGAAGACTATATCACAATGTCGAGCTATGAAACTTTGCAAATTTCACCCCTATTTTCCAGATGGACTTTTAACCCAATTTTCCAGATAGACTGCGATATATAAAAACTGAATATCACAGAATCTCATTACTCAGGAAATGGCAGGTTATGAGATAATATTTGCTCACAAATCTGAGCCGAAGCAAAATTCCGATAGATTTCAGGAGAAGTTTCACTGACGATGAGAATAACTGTTTGACTATTCACTGCAGTGAGTAATCTCAAACTAGTCTGTAGATGGCACTGACACATTAAGGTCTGAATAACTGTACCAAGTTAGTATTTGTCAGCAAGATGAAGACACATGAAGAGGAAAGTCTGGAGGCGCGCCTTGAAGGAGGCGAGCGAAGGAGGCGAGGGAAGGGGGCGAGGCAGAGGGGCTCGGGGATGAAGTTGGGGGCGGAGAGGCTGAAGGCCCATCCTCCGATGGTGGAGCAGGCTGTTGCCTGCCGAGCGGAGGGAGAGGCAGGTTGGCAGAGTTTTAGAAGGTCACAGAGGTAGACTGTGGAGGGCTTTAAAAGTGAGGACACAGATTTTAAACTCGATCCTGCGGAGGATGGGGAGCCAGTGAAGCTGGGCGAGGATAGGGGTGATCGGCTCACAGAGCTTAGCTGAGCCCCGGGGCAGCAATGCCATCCTGTGATGTGGCTGTCTATCCATTGTCCCCTCCCGCCTTCCCTGGCAGACAGCAAAGGAGACCAGCTGGAACTACTGGCAGAGGTCAACAGGATCTTTCTTTAGAGCTAGAGGTTACCAGAGACACAACAAAACAAGAATTTGCTGGTGAAAGAAGACCAAGGTCTATCTAGTTCGCCTTCTACCATCCTGGCTTAACATGTCGTGTCCCCAAACTATACGCTCTATTAGCCCCAGATATTATTTTCTAGCAGAAATCTATCTAATTTGTTCTTGAAAAAAAAGCATTCTCTGCTTCCACCGTCTGTTTCCCTGGGGAGCCTGTTTACTACTCGCTCACTGAAGCAGTATCTCCGCAAGTCACACTGTGAGAAGCACTGCTGAGATCCATTAGAGATTCAATAGCCATTTAACACAACTGGTAGCAGCCTTGTGTGGCTTGCAGCTCAATGAAGCCCAGAGATGGCAAGTCCTGCTAATCGCACCTCGTGCCCAAGTTTGGTAAGTTCCACACTTTGAAGCACGGAAAGAGAACGACAACAACAACTTGCGTTTAGGGTCCCGGAGCGCTTGATATAATACAATGAGCAAACACCTGCACTGCAGACTGACCCGACCAGTCAACATAATCTACACCTGCAAAATGTATGTGAATAATCACAACCAACACAATACAACAATGGCCTAATCCACTGGGACAGGATGTTCAGGGCTGGAGGAATTTTTAGTTAATTTAACGGTACTAATCTTCTCTCTCTCCCCCCCACCTCCCCCACCCCATACCTTGGATCCTTAACTTTTTAACTGTGAAACGAATGGGTAATTAATCAACTTTTTCCACTGCAGTGTAGTGGTTAGTGAGCTCACCTCGCAAGCAAGAGGAAGTGGCTTTGATTGCCGGGCAGGGCGAAACTTTAAGCAAGTTTTCTTACTGTACACACCTTGTTTACCTACATAGTAGTAAATAGGAACCCTAATTGACAGGTAGCTTTCCAGAGGTAATAATCCCTTAAAAAATAAATAAATAATAATTTGGTCACTCAATCCACTCTGTTTGTGGGACACTGCTGTGTGCAATTGGCCGCCGCGTTTCTCGCACAAAATATATAGTCAATTCACTTTACAGTATATTCTGTGAAGCGCTTTGAGACGTCTCGAAGACGTGATAAGGCTATATCAAATGCAAGGATTATTACTATTATTATTGTCTTGTCAGGTTTCTCAGTGCTTAGGTCTATGTGGAGCAGAGTGGGTTAGAAAGATGTTACATTATGCGCTTTGACACAAAAAACATCTCAACCACTCATTAATGTCAACTCATCATCAGTCACCTCACAAGGTATTTAGTTCATAAGGACATAAGAATTTGCTGGTGAAAGAAGGCCAAGGTTCTCCAGTTTGCCTTCAAGCAGTGGCTTGACATTTCGCCCACAAAAATACACAGTCACTACACTTCAAAGTATATTCTGTGAAGCGCTTTGAGATGTCTCTAAGATGGGATAAGGTGCTGTATCAAATGCAAGGATTTATTCTCAGTATTAGTATTATTATTATCATTATTGTAATGTCCCAAACTATATACTGTATCCCATAATATTATTTCCCTAAATAAATAAATCTAATTTGCTTTTGAAAGAATCAACACTTTCAACTTCCACCAACTCCCTGGGTGGCTGTTCCATAAGTTTACTACTCGCTCACTGAAATAGTGTTTCCGCAGATTTGTTCTGAACTTACCCCCTTCAATCACAGGCCATGACCTCTGGTTCTACTGTTCAGTACAAGATAAAACAGCTTAACATGGGCGACGTTATCCAGTCCCTGTAAAAAAATGCTATCATATCGCCTCTCAATCTTCTCCTTCCTGGTGAGACCATGCCCAGTTTTTCTAATTGCCCTGATTGTGATTGGAGGGCACTATTGGACAGCAGAAGGTCCCACAGAATGACCAAATTGGAGGCGGAAGGTGAATTGTTGTGAAAGTAGGTGCCACATCCACCTTGGCCCCTCGAGTGGCCTAATACCCCCCCACCCACCACTAGTGAGATGTCTCAGAGACACCTCCAACACCAACGGCCAAACACAACAGCCAATAGCTCAAGTCAATGTTAATTATATCTCACTCCCTTGATATCTCACTCCCGCACCCGGTAAACAAAACCGGCCCGTGACGATGATTTCTCTCCTTCATTCTCCCAGTCACCGCCCCCACCATCCCCCAACTCGATCCCCCAACCCACCCGCCCAGCCCCACCCCCGCCCACCCCCTTTGCAAAGCTTTGTGTTGTTACTCACCCAAGGGCTGCCCAGCCACTATTCTGTTGTGTTCCCCCGTCACTGCCGCTCTGGCATTGCGTTCCAATACGTACTGCACAAATGCGTATCCTTTGTGTACAGAGCACCCCACTATCTTGCCGTATTTGCCAAAGATGGCCTCCACATCTGACTTCTTCACAATGGCTGTGTTTAGGTTACCAATGAAGACTCTGGAGTTGATGGACCTGGGATCATTTTTATTGGTCACATTACTGGTCATTGCCTTACTGGTCATTTTCCTCTATGAAGTGACCTGCAAAAGTATAAACGAATCTTTACCTTTTGAGCATAGAATGATGGGCGCGTTTCCGCCAAGCCCCACCCCACGCAGGGACTTGGAACCCACATCGCCTAAGCTGGCACTCCCGTGGAGTGGTGGTGGGGGGGTGGGGGTGGGGAGCGCTGCATTGTCGGAGGTCCCATCGTTCTGAGGAGACGTTAAACCAAGGTCCCGTCTGCCTGTTCAGGTGGATGTTAAAGATTCCGTGGCGCTGTTCGAAAAGACAAGGGAGTTTCTCTCTCCTGGTGTCCTGGCCAATAATTCCCCCCCCAAATAAAATTGGTCACTCACTCCGTGGCTGTTTGCTGGGTGCAATTGGCCCCACTTTACACAGTCACCCCACTTTACAGTGTATCCTGTGAAGCGCTTTAAGACGTCTCGAAGATGAGATAAGGCGTTGTATCAAATGCAAGGATTATTATTATTATTAATATTATTACTATCTGAATAGTAGTTGGAGGGACATGGCAGAGCCCTTGGGACCACTCTCAGGAAGAGGTTATCAGTGTGTGAACAATGAAGATTAATTAACAAAAAATGTATAAATGTTAAAAAGTTCCATTCGAAAACATTCCACCCGTTTCTTTGTGTGTTTTCCTAACAACGGGAACTGTCTGCAAGTGAACATTAGGGATCATCCCAACTCTCTCCCCTTTATATACCAGTGGGAGCTTTGAGCTCTCCTCCCTCAACAAAATAATGGACGGCACCTCCGACATCGCACCCCAACCCCCCCCCACTGTCACGAAACATCCTCACACACCGTCCACACCAGCACATCAGGGTACAGAGAAAAAACAAGCGTTATTACAGTGTGTATCAGTGCTGGGATGTGTTTGGTAACAAGGTAATTTATACTGGGCCCCACAGCAATTACCGGGAAGCACTTGGAGATGTTTGAGTGTTCCAGGAGAGACACTGGATATGAGAATTATCATTGTATTATTTCTTTGAAGCCTGCGTTCTGTTCAGTCTCTCTCTGTCTCTCTCTGCCTCTGTGGAAACACAGGACCTGAGCAGCTCATTGCTGTACAGGAAGCTAACTGCAATGTTTGCCATCAGTCCCTGTGCTGGTCCTTCGCTAATCCATCCTCTATTGTTACTGTTAATTTTCTCCTATAAGCAGCGAGTGGGTGAGGCTGTGGCAGACTGACTGGGAGGGGAGCGAATCTCGTCATTAACCCAACGAAGGTCAGACACAAGTGTTGCTGCCTCCGCTCAACTGGCTCTGGCCTCCTGCACGTCCCTCGTGTTCTCCATTTCACCATCGGTGGCCGCGCTTTCACCCACTACGCCCCGAAACTCTGGAACATTCTTCCTCTACCCCTCCTCCTTGCTCCTTCCTTCCCCATCTTCAGGTTGCACCTGCGGACCTTCCTATTCGACCGTGCGCACGGTCAACACCCACCCCCCGCCCCAATCTCCCACTGGCTCGGAGTCAGGCTACGCCATTGTCAAGCGCTCTGGGACGCTACCCTGCGAGAGGGGCGCTGTGTAAATGCAAGTTGTTGTTGTTGTGTATAGTCTTTGAGGGGCCTATCAATGGGCTCAAACGAGTTACTTTAGATCAAAGTGTCTGGCAAGACTGAGCAAAGGACCTTAGGCACGTTTCCTGACTCCTTAAACGCTCCTCTTGTGCTACCCTACAGGAAGTAGGAACCTGGTTGTTAGTCGATTGGTGGATCGCTTTTCTGGGGGTAATAATCCCTTGCCCCCAAAACTAATAATAATAATCATTTGGTCACTCAATCCACGACTGTTTGTGGGACACTGCTGTGCGCAATTGGCTGCCACATTTTGCCCACAAAACACACAGTCAATTAACTTTACGGCGTACTCTGTGAAGCTTTGACACGTCTTCAGATTACACCTAAAGACCTTCCTTTTCGACTGCCACTCCCCCCCCCCCACCACTATCCCGGCTCAGGGTCAGGCTCCGCCACTGTAGGCCCTCCGAGGTTCTGCCCCTCGTGAAGGGGGCTATATAAATACAAGTTGTTTTTGTTGCTGTTCGTTAGCTGGTTACCTGCACCAGTCGCCCCAACACACACTCAGGGATCCCCACATTCTTGCGAACCTGTGCCTAATACTTTTCGGAATTCGGTAAGCAGGGAGAAAGTGTACAATCCACTTTCCTTTGGATACTCTTAAGCACAGTGATGGATCAGATACCCAGTCAATTGCACACAGCACTGTCCCACAAACAGTTTATCAAAATATTATTCTTAATGTTATAATAACAATAATCTTTGGATTATTTGATAACATCCGTTGCTTCGGATGAGATATTAAACCAAGGTCCTGTCTGCCTGTTCACGTGGATGTTAAACATCCTATGGTGTTATTTGAACAGAGAAGGGAGTTTATGAATTGAAATGCTACTTTCTATTTAGTTGATTTAAGTGATAAAGAGTTCATTTAAATTTCTCTGCACTTTCATGATGTACATAATAATAATAATAATAAATGTACAGTATCAACGTCAGTTTAGTTCGCAGAACTTATTATTATTAAATTTTCCAGAAATTTCTGAAAATTTGTCGTTATGTAAAAAAAAAGTGATCCCGAGAGTAGACTTTACTGTAGAAGTTAGTGATTTACAAACATGTTCATTTATTGGTTTCATTCGATTGGTCTCGGGTAAAATGATACGATAAAATGAAATATCATAATCCAGTATTTAATTAAGCGATCAATATCTTTGTCAACAAAACGCACTGTCACTACACTTTGTAGTACATCCTGTGAAGCGCTTTGAGACTTCTCAACGACCTGATCAGGTGCTGTATCAAATACAAGGATTATTGTTATTATTATTATTTTCGTAGATTAGGTGTACAAATGTTCGGGGAGTTCGAAATTCGTTTCAATAAACCAAATTATTGATTATCCAATAACCAATTCACCGAATTTGACTGTATTATAAGAGTTCTATGAAGGGTATCTGTCATCACTGCGCGCATCACTTTATCAACCCCGGAGGCTATTTTCCTGCCCCTCTGAAATAGTTGACGTCCTCGAAACTTTCACAGGGAAATGCTGCTGAGCCCAGTTCCAGTGTTTTAGAAACTGATTGTTCTAATCAAGTGCTGAGCCACAGTGTGACAAACAGGAAGCCAATACTTACTCAATTCAACATTGTTCCCACTCAATATTATATTAGTTAGCCATCTAGAGAATAGCACGCGATACGTGCTGCGTTAGCTCTGCCCTCGCAGGTGTGAGGCAAGCTAGTGTTTCCTCACGCCAGTCAGTAAGCGCATCGCAGCCATTTCCTGTTGCTGAACTGGAAGGAAATGGCATTGTAATAATAATAATCCTTGCGTTTGATGTAGCGCCTTATCGCGTCGTCGAGATGTCTCCAAGCGCTTTAAAGAATATTCTGTACAGTGAGATTGACTGAATATTTTATGGGAGAAACGCGGCAGCCAATTTGCGCACAGCGGTGTCCCCACTAACAGTCGTGGGACACAGTCACTCCACTTTACAGTATGTTCTCTGAGGCGCTTTTTGAGACGTCTCAACGCTGTGAAAAGGCGTTGTGTGAAATACAGGGATTATTTATACAATGTTATTGAAGAATCAATCAACAGCGCCAACAACAACTTGCACTCTATACAGCGCCCTACAGACAGGGGAGACAATTAACCTCCGTACAACGCGATGCACTGAAATACTGACCAGCCGGGCGGGAATATGTGGATTCCCGGTGGATGGGGAGGAAGGGGATGTAGGCAGGGTCTGTGCAGTGCTCACACAGTTCCAGGCCACAGGCAATCTGTGAGCCTTGCGATCTCAGGCGTGCTTGGGAACAGTTAATTTGTTTTATCAGTACGAGATTAACAGCTCAATTGGCACAAGCCTGTAGCCCGACTGGTGTAAGCTTCATTACCAGCCTAATCATCTAATGAGAAATTCAATAAAACACATTGGTTCTTTCATACGGCACCTCTTTGCACAGTCTATTGTAACTTTTTCACCCCAGGATAATTTTCTTACCACCGCGACTCTCACGTGATGTTTAATTTTAATGCTAAACCTGACCTTTTAGAAAGAATTCATATTCGCAACTGATCTCTTATTAAAACACCAACCCAAATCCTGCAACCGCAATTTAATTCAATATATTCTATATCCATAGCCTATATCTACAGCCCATGTCTTTAGCCTATGTCTATTATAATCTATATATTCTATATCCAGCGCTGCGTAAAATTCATTTTTTTGTGTATTTCTTGTTACTTTGTTTTATCTATTAAAATGTTGTTTTATTTCTTTATGCAGTCCTGTGGCTCAGTGGTTAGAGCCCTCACCACACAAGTGAGAGGACCTGGGTTCGATTCCCGGGCAGGGCGAAACGTTGGGCAAGTTTTCTTACTCACACGCCTCTGTTTACCAGCAGTGAGTAGGAACCCGGTTGTTAGTCAATTGTTGGATCGCTTTCTGGAGATATTAATCCCTTCAAAAAAGTATATATGTATTTGATCACTCAATCCACAGCTGTTTGTGAGATACAAAATATACAGTCAATTCACTTTACATTGTGTGAAGCGCTTTGAGACATCTTAATGATGTAACAAGGGACTATACCGAACGAAGGATTATTATTCTCCTTAATACACACTATAGAAACCTTGGGAGCAATTGTTGCACAGGAATAAAGAATCCCAATCAATCCCATTGACTTAATACATTGTACATCACATCAGAGTGTTCAGTTTGAGAGCAGGAGCGAAAGGAAATGTGCTCATTCAGGTGCAGTGAAAAGCAGCTGTGAATGTACTGAGGAGATAGCACCTGAAAGCTGACAATGGTTCTTTATGGTGACACAAACACTGTCCAGCCTCGCTTGTCAGCCTGCACTCCACTCCCCCATGTAGAAAATCGCCAAGGAGAATGCCAGGATTCACGTTGAGGAAGCTCCGTTCACCCAGTGCGATTGGATCATAGTTCCTCCCCGCCACACGCAATCA